GGGGGCGGGGCGGGGGCGGGTCTCCCTGTCAGTCAATCAGATGTTCACACTTCACTCTGAGAGCGATGGAAAGCCACTCGACAACTCAAGAGACCCTGCGGCCTAAACGGATTTATGTTTTCAAAGCAAAAAGGCACAAAGCAAACATCCGACTCCAGACCTCAGTGGTCCTGGCAGCTCCAACCCAACTGTCAACGGAACGGGGTCTCAAAATGTTCACATTTCCTTTCTGCATGTAAAGAACAGAATCACAAACGAAACTTCAGACATCCTTTTATCATAAAGGCCCTCCTGATATTCTAAACCAGAGGCGACTGTTCCTGGTTTTGCAACCCCCTAAGGCCCTCCACCTGCAGATGGAGCAAAGTTCTTCTGAAGATGCTCTCAAGTTTGATAAAACAAGGAATGAAAATTCATTTCATTTTGAGTAAAAGAAGTTCCTTGCCACACACCACTTTTAGAAGAAGGGGATAGGTTGGGGTGGAATGAAATCAAATCACAGAGACTGTATTCCAGAAGAGCTGGGATCACTGATAAATGCCCGAAGTCCAAGAATGGGAGAGGGTATATCTGTAATTTTTTCATAAATTGCCAGCCATCTCCAGATAACTTTTCAAATAAAACATGACACTTGTTTAAATATTTACTGGTTTGTTGACCCATTTTTTTTTTGTCGTTGTTGTTAATTAGGGTTTTTTTTTTTTAAAGGAAACAAACATTGTCACAACAAATTAAAACCAGACAGCCTCAACAGTGGGATAGCTCAGCCAGGCTATAGTCGAGCATTAAGTTGTGAGTTAGCAAAAGTGTTGTACCCAAGGGGAGAAATCAAGTAGAAAAATCAGAAAGAGCCTCTCAATGTATAAAGGTTGAGGCTCATCCCTACTCTCGATCTGTGGTTATTAACACAATTGATTTGTTTGAAATATAAAGAGTTTTGAAAATATAAAGACTTTTCAGCAATTGTTCTTCTGTTCTTTTCCCTTAAATGTGTATTTAGCCCAAACCCCCTTTCAAAGAAGTGGCTGGCCAAAAAACCCATAGCTGTTCCTACAAAACAAAAAAGCTATGTTAAGATGTTGCGTTTGAGTCCTTTGCCTTTTTTTTTTTTTTTTTTTTAACTTATAATGGCTTTGTGCTTTAGTAAATGCCTTCAGGTTAACACTTCATACTGGCTCCCCTCTGGGGCTTCTCTGAAGCCAGGCTTAGAGGACCTTCAAGTTCACAGTAACAGAGGGGTTTTATGTCTCATGACTGCAGGTCTATGGACTCCACTGCCCCTGCCAAAGAAGAGTTTCCTCGGAAAGTCTCAGCAAAACGTCTGACCCCCAGCAGGAATTGTAGCCAGTGGCCACGATGACAACTTGTGCCGGGACCACCTCCATTAGCTGGGTGGGGAAGCGGGGCCACGGGGGAGAAGGTGTCCTGAAAAGGGAATAACGTTTTCGGTGGTCACAGAGTCTAAATGGACTAGATTTAAAGATAGTGTTGCAGCTGCAAAGTGACATTAAGTAGTTTGTCATAGCTGGCTAAAGGTTGAACGTGCATTTACTCTGCCTGACAACCGAAAGAGGTAAAGAATTCTGTTTTTCTCTGATGAGGAAGCGGTGACTCAGAGGTCTGGCTGACTCTTCTGCCACACTTCGCTATTTTGCCCGGGGAGCCGGAGAAGAGGGAGCACCTGACCCTGAGATTTCCCTCACCTCCTTTGATGCCTTGTAGGGAAGGTGACTCAGGGCTCCTCCTGGAGATGAACACCCCCTCCTTCTACGCTCACAGAAGCCCCTCGGCAGGCCGGCAGTCTAACCAGAGAGGTGAGGTGGTGAATTAAAGATAGCTTCAAATCCTTTGCCACTTCTCCCATCCAAAAGCAAAATTCATTGCCCTTCCCTTTGAAGACAGAGGGCTGGTCCATGACTTCCTGTAACCACTGGAAAGTGGCAGAAGTGAAACCATGTTACTTACAAGGCTAGGCCTGAAGAGCACCCGCAGCTTCTGGTTTTGTCTGCTTGGAAAACCCCTCTGGGAACGGTGCTATAAGAAGCCAGGAAGAGAAGGAACAAATTGCTGCCCACACTCATCGACCGCCCTGGGTGAGCCCCAGCCAGTAGCCAGCACCAACTGCCAGCCACGTGAGCAAGTCAGCTTGGATGTTCCAGCCCATTGAACAGCACATAGAGCAGAAGAACTGCCCAGCTGAGCCCAGGCAGCCCCAAACTGTGAAAGATGACAAACTGAGTTGGGCATAGTTTATTTCACAGACAATTGTGAAACAATTTCTTATTGCTGGCCAGAGGATGATGGCCAGAGGAGAGCTCTCCACTGGCGGGGTTCCTCGTCTACATCTCGGGGAGGATATCCTTGGGGCAGGGGGGATATGTAGAAGGGATATCTCTGGCCACCGGAGGAGTAGAGTACATTCATTTATTTCCACAGTATTCCAAGAACACTTTCATGTGTGAACACAATGAGCTAGGTCTCCATGTTCCTAATGAGGCTCTTGACTGAAGCCAGGGGACAGATCTGCCTAGCCCAGAATCCAGGAGGAAACAATCTTGGAATTAGTGCCCTATGAGCTAAAAGAGGCTGGAAAAAACAGCGGGATCTATCTCTTTCCCATATGCCCAGTTTTTTAAAAAATGTTTTTGTTGTTGAATTGAGATGTCATGAATGCCCCCCTCTCTTGGGCAAGTTACTGAACTTATTCTTCATTAAGTTATTGTGAGAGTTAACTGTGAAAATGTATGCAAAGTTCTTAGCACAGTACCTGTGTGATTTAGGTGCTTGATAAATAAACACCCTTTCCAAATTTATAGTGGTTTTTCATTTCCACATCAAAATGTTTTGTGACTCTGTAACAGGTTTACCTCTGAAAAGGCAGCTAATTTCTATGTGTCATATTAGGTCAGCATATTCAAAAGCTATATTCAAACCTGTTGCCTTGGCCCTACATAACGTCTATGGGACACTTGGCTAAATCAAAGTGATCTTCATAAATCACAAGAGCAGAAAGATGGTCTTTGTCCATGATGCTGTCTTCCTTTTCTCCCTAAAAAGATGAGTAGAGGCTCTTCTTCAAACTGTGTGGTATCATCATTTTTTCCAGCCTGACCTTTGGCAAAAGGCAATATGTTTGCTGGCTGTTAGGTTACATAAGCTTCCCATCAAGTGTAAATGGATGGGAGGTCTCAGATCCATTTGCACCTGATGAAGAGGCTCGCTTACCCCACTCTGGTGTTTATGTGCCATGCACGCGGTTCCCCACAGATGTGTTCAATCAAGCTCTCTAAAACTCTCCTCGCTTCAGATCAATTTCTGAGGCAGATCTGCCAGGCTTCTGAGTTTCCAAGAAGACTGAATACCCTTGCACTCACCTAATCAACTGAAGCAGAGCCAGTTTGGAAGGCTAGTTTTGAAAATGAAACTTCTTCTGGGGTGGTTTGGAGAGGTAAAGTGAGGGCTGCAGTTCTGTTTCTTGTAAGAGACACAACCCCAACATTACTTTTTTTCAAAGGATAAGGCTGACATACTGAGGAGGGACAGAATTTCTATTTCTGCAGGTTCCTTAAGGCAACAGAGGAAGCTCGGTGGCCACAGGAGTCTAGTTAATGAGCAGGTTATACAATATTCATTGTGTTGAGTTTAACTCTTCAAACAGAACGTCTAATTGTGAATAGAAAAAAAAGCAGCTAAATTACAGATGTTAAGACAACAAAGGTTGGGAAGAACTCCCTCTGTTGATAAAACTGTCCTTTCGCAGCTGCCTCAACTAACTGCTCACTGACGGGGGCCACCGCGAGTCCCTGTCCTCATCAGCTATTCTCATTAGCTCTGTTCTGGCTGAGAAACTGCAGGGTCTGAGGAGGGCTACTCGGAGGCCTAGGACGACGGTCGGCTCAGAGGACTGTTTTCTCGTTACCCACAGAGGAAGGGGTCCAGTTGTATTCTGCTTCAACCAAAACAAAACTGTTCTCCCCAATCTTCCTGACACGGACTGTCTCACCACCATCACTCCTGGCAACAGCATCCCCAGCAGGCTCACTGAAGGACACTTCTGTCCGCCTGTGGCAATACTGGGTGTGTAGACAGCGGAGGCAGGCAGCCAGGGCCATGCCCAAGGTGGCGGAAAGACAAAGCAGGATTCCCAGCTGGGGAGCCCTGAGCTGGATCCCTGAAGGGGCACTGGCTCCCTGTTGCCCAACCTCAGGCCTTGGGTTGGTCTTCCTGGGGTATCCCACTCTGCCCCCTCCATGTTCCTCAAGCACTCTGGCCTCCTTGCGCTTTGACTGAGGTGAGAAGCTGGCAGAAGGCCTCGATGCTTCTGATTGCCCGCCAGCAGCAGGTGACCTGGAAGTGGCAGAGGTGTGGAAGACAGGGGTTGGGGTGGCTGCCCCAGCCCCATTCCCAGTGAGTGCTTCAGACGACCAGAGGTGCCGAGGATAGGTAAGGTGGGCAGTGGACAGAGGAGGCCTCATCATGGTCCTATTAGAGGACTCCATTTTGTCCTAGAAAAGCAAAGGGGGAAAAAAAAGTCAAAGGACCTGGTCTTCTTCCAAGCTACCACTGAACTTTACACTTAACCTGTGTTTCTTAAAGAATCCCAGGCAGCAGCTGAAAACCCAGCCTTGTGCCTGCTCCTGCTCCTGCTCAGAGTAAAATGCCCAAGTAGATAGATATGCCCTTGTGATTGATGGGGATGAGGTGGCTAATGGAAACCCCACAAAGAGAGCATGGAGGCCAGTTACAAGAATAAACCTAAGGTCCTTTAAGAGGCTTCCAGACCAAGATTCATGATTATCATCTCCAAGGGCAGAAAGCTTTTGGGTGTCTTTTTATGCTAGGGCCCATGCAAGAGGGCATTTAATCTCACTGTAGGTTCCAATAAATTTGAGTAAGAATATTATACCATGTTTTATTTTGTGTTCCTATTAAGACTTCAAAGGAATTGTAAATCAGTGGGCATGTATATTTTATATTGCCCATTGATCTAACCTCTGGAACCATACATGGTGTTTTGAGGCCAATGTTATAAAGAGGGGTAGAGAGGTGAGGAGACAGGAATTATTGACTGAGGCTAAGTGGGAAAACAAATCACTAAAACTATCAATTTCTACAATTGTCAATAACTTCAGAGACACTGTATAACAGAAAGGCTGGTATTGATTGGTAAAAAGATGCTGTGTGTATATTATACCCTTGCCTCCTGCTCTCAAATTTTGGTTACTAGTCTAATAGCTCCGCTTCCCCAGCCTGGAACTTCCCACATTGGGATCAAAATACCAACCCCATCACCCACGTACAACCAGGGTTCTTACCTGTTCATGCCTATCTGAGGATAGGCAAGTTTCCAATGAATCAAAGTTTGGATCGTCCTGAGTCCTAAAGAGAAGGATAGAAGGGCGAAGAGAAGACTAAGTATACAGATCAAAAAGCAACATTTCCTACCATTGCTGTGTATACTGACAAAAGCAGATTTCCTTGGAAAGGAGTTTGGGGTTTGGAGTTAGGAGCTGAAGGGAAAAGGGAGAGAGGGTGGGGAAGAGGCAAGTGAGGATAGCAACAAAGCCTCACTGAATGCTTTTATTTATTTTATATAAAA